TTACAGTCTACTAGCCTGTGAATATTGCTGCCTTGATCAGGAAAGAGGGGAAGCAGAGGAAATGAGGTTTTTTACTGACACTTAAATTTAAAACATGAGCTCTTGATGAAATAGTGCAACAAGCACCTTTGCAGAGGATTGTAAAATCAAAATGCCTTGATAAAGTGTTCATGGAGATACTGTGCTGAACCCAGCCCTGATTACTTCTTTGTGACAGGAAAAGCCACTGGAGGTGTTTTCAGCTCATGGACAGAGCAGAAAGCATCAGTTTCACCATCTGAGAAAAATGTAAATGTATAAACTTTGTGTTTCAATATTCTTTTTGGGTTGGGCTGCCCTGGAGCTAATCACTGAAGGATGGTAGCCCTTCCTTTGACTCTGGGTCTGTCACTTACAGTTTGTTTGTACATCAAAAACGTGTAATCACAATGACTGCTATGGTAGTCTGAGTTCAGAATAAATGTCAGCATCAAGGACTATCTGTGTTCATGAGTGCAAGCCTGGACTTGGTGCAGATCTTGATGTAGAAGAAATTCCTAATAATTAAAGACAGTAAGAAGTTAGCTGACAGAGAAGCTGCAGCCTAGCAGCATTAGCAAAAACTTCATCAAAAGTGACTGTATGTATCAGAGATACAAAGAATTGGTTCTCTTCTGTTGGCAGTGGAGGGTGTAAACATGGGGCAAAGTTTTAGCTGTTACATTAAAAATGTTTGTAAAGTAAAAAAGGCATTGAAGTAGTTATGAAATATATTAAGCAAATTCAGTCTTTAATAATCAGATGAGGATTGTTTTGTGCATGCGCTTGCTTGGCAGTCTGTGGTGGCTTGGCATGCCCTCTAGCAAGGGACTGGGCTGGAACCCAGAAATTCACTTAAAGGGAAATAAAGCTCTTGTAAAGGCCTCTGGTATTCCAGATTTTACTGCTGCTTTTACTATTGTTTCTTTTAGACTTCTCTAGCTCATTCCTGTCCTTGTCAGTGCTGCGATGTAGTTCGTGACTGTCTCAGAGGCAGTACAGAAGAGCTGTCTGGAACAGGCAGCAGTGCCCAGCACATATCATTAGTGGTCTGTCGGCCCCTTTCCAAGCCTTGTCAATACAATCCTGCCCTTCTGATGACAACATTTATGCTTTAAGACAACAGCATAATGAGTAGCTACTCTGTGGTAATGACTGAAAGTCCCCAAAGGAGAAGTTCTGTTTTATTAAACAGGGATGTTCACAGTTGGGCTAGTGGGGGTTCTTATCTTCTTCTTCTTCTTCTTTTTTTTTTTTTTAATTTTTTTTTTATTTAATGATTGCAGGTGTAATATAGATTTTTATGAAACTATTTTAGAAGCAGTCTTCCTTGTAAGAGCACTTAAGAAAATGTATTTGCCAGAGTGGCTGAAGGAATTAGAAATTCAAGTGAAGGTGTGTCTTAACAGTATTTTAGTTCTTATATGTATATGCATTAGAATAAGATAATAAAGTATTAAAAAATAATAGCAGCATAAGAGCTTATGTTCTGCATTTGATTTCATATAAAAATAGTAATCTTAACCTAAAATATAGTGATTAAACCTAAATGTTCTGTTAATTCACGACAAAACTAAATAAATCAATAAACAAATAAGCTTGCAGTTACAGTGAGATTTCACTTCCTGGACTGAAAATTTGAACTGTAGGCTCATAGCTCCCTTGAGTGTTCGGAAAGAGAATAGCAGCTCTTAATAACAGAGCACTTTGCTGTGAGGGGTGGACGTTCATGTCATTACCATTTTTCTGGCAACTTTTCAACCACCAGCAGCAAAAGTTTTCATTGATTGCCTCCTGCTGTAAGGCAGTAATTATACTGCTCTGTCTCTTTCATGAGCTGCAGGAATTGGAGAAAATAAGGGAAGCTAGAGATATTAGCTATGGATAAAACGCAATTCAGGCTGAGCTATTTCCTATTTTACTGCATGGGGTCAAGCAGGCTAATTTTTACACATCTGCACTAAATATAGAAAATAGTGTTTCCAGTGGAATGGTGGAGAATCCAAGGTAAAGATTTGATCCAGATGCTGTAAAGTCATCCACTCCCTAGAAAATGACAAGGTATTGCATGAAATTCTTTTTCTGAAAATAAGACTCCTCTCGCCACAACCCAGGTGCAGGGTCACTGGTGTTGATCAAGAACAATTAAACATCGTGCAATTATCCCAAATTGGTCCTGTTACGTTTGGCCAAGGTTCTGTTCATTGTTGCAGTCCAGTGATGCTGAGGGGAAAGAAGCCATTTGTGAGAAATATTGGTACTTATTTCACCTGAGCATGTTCTCTCTCTGAAGGTGGCTTAGGCAGAGGAAATGGATGGAGGTGTTTGTGAACTGCACTGAACTGTCAGAAAGTGATCCCTTATGTCTGACTTCATCTATTTATAATTGACAGGAAGACTTGTGTTCATTTTGGTGATGCAGAATCAAGTGCAGCTGGAGGAAGAGAAATGGGGAAATTTGAGCTTAAGTTGTAATGGAATGCAGGAGTTTGTGCATATACAAATCTTTGTCATAAATCAACAGGTTTTAAATCAATTGGTTTTCATTCATTTTCATGACTTGGGATTGTGAAAATATAGTACTCCATTAAGGAATCAGCACAGTGATCTTGATCTGTATCTTAATGTAGGAAATGTTTTTTGAGGCTGATATCCTTTTAACTAAGATAATTAATTTAAACTTGTCTTTGCCTTTAAGGATCTTTTCATCTTATCAAGTATGCTGAACAATTTCTACAGATAAGTGTCCTCTGATTTATTTTTATGTTTTTATGAAACAAATCTATTTGGTTGTCAGTACTTTGTTCTCCAAATTGCTGCTATAATGTTTATCTTCTGTGTGAGCTCAGCACTGTTAAATACATGTGAAAGCTAATTAAAGTACAACAGGGATTTAGAGCACTTGTATGTCACTCCATTATTATTTGAGGATTTTATGGTTTTGATACAAGTAGTGTGTCAGTTTTAGCACAGAACAGTGAGAGACATGTCACCGATCTTCTCTAGCTTCTCATTAGAGCAATGTTTACATACACATAATACATAAACACACTCTAGAAGGCACATGAGATCATACACAGAGTAAATTAATTCTATTAAGTATTCATTAATATAATTTGTGCTACAATACAGTTATTTCCTTGTCTTACATTTCAGCTCAGTACTCCTACAGAGCAAAATTACGTCCAGGTATTCTCCAACAATTAGGCCATATTTAAAGAAGTATTCAATCACACAAGTAAGGAGAAGTGGCAGAATCAGGATCTGAAGAGTTTTCAGAAACCCCTATAATCTCTCACAAGAAGCTTTCCATGCATATTAATTTCTATAATGGATAGTTTAAGTTCTACTGACACTGGTATTTAGAACAATGAAGCATCAAAAATTTGTCTTTTGCTAAAGTAATAAAAAACCCCAAAACAAACAACAAATTGTAAGAATGCAAGAGGAAGGAAGCTTCTAGCCTTTGTGGCACTTAAAGAGCAATTTTCTCAAACTTACTTAGAGGTACAGGCTCTGGAAGGAAAGTGTAGGCACAGGTTTGACCTCAGTCTGAACTCACAAGTGAAGCTTCAGTAGAGGTGCTGTCCTGTTCTCTGGAGGATCCTGAGCTGCACAGATTTTGCAGTCTTGAATTGAGACACAAATGAAAATCTTGGCAATTGTCACAAATCAAGATGAATTTCTTTTTGATAAATTTAGGCTCTGTCTTTGATCTGGACGTTTTTTATATTTTTGTTCAGTATGCCTGACATGGGAAACAAACTTTGTTTTTGTCAGATCCATTTTTTTGCTTCACGATGTCTGTCTTATTTTCCTATACCAGAAAATCTTCCTCATTTTGCTGACTAGCGGAATATTTAATACTTTATCTAAATATATATTTTTATCTTACCTAATGTATGTTCTATAATACTATATTTAATATAATATCTGATATAATATTTCTAATTAATTTCTATATTTTCAGTCTAAAATTCAGGGTCATTTTCAGTATGACTGTGGGAATCTGGTGAGGAAAATCGCAGGAGAGGCAATTAAGTTAAAGCAGAGCAGTTGAACAGGTCTGGAGTTTATTCCAGTTAAGGACTGTTTCTGCTTACCATCACTTCATATGGACCTGTTTTCCCTGGAGGTACTGTGTTCTGTAAAGCACGTGTATTTCACTGAGGCTGCTGGTACTGAAATTTATTCTGTTGTTCTCCAACAATTGTGCTACATGTAAATGTACACAACAGGTGACACTGAGCAATTATCCAGCTCCATAAGTTTGACTACAACCACTGTAAGAAAATTCTGATGCGAATCCCTACAGTGATCTTTCCCCAATCCACTCTAACCTGGGCTCCAGAGGGGAAGCTTTGTGAAAAAAAAGAAAGAAAAATTGTTTTCACTGTAATACAGTTTCTTATGTTCTTGGGTTCATGTAACATCTGTTACAATTTCTGTAGTGATCAGCTTAAAAATGACACATTTAAAAGTAAATAACATCATGCTGCTGAGCTGTGCAAATGGCTTGCTAGTCAATTAGGAGAATGCCACTTGTTCTCTGTCACTGTTGCAGTGACTGAAACCCAGTTTCAGAGTTACAGCCAGGCAGGAACACTGCAGCCTCAACAGCTGGTGGCAGAATTTGGCTGAAGTTTTTGTATAAAACCAGGAGAAGTTCTGTGACTCGTGCTTGTGTGTGACAGCGTGCCCTGCGTGGTGCCTGGCAGCCTGGCTCACCCTGCTGCCTGGCTGGGCGGGCACTGGAGGCACATCAGGGTCCCGGCACAGCTGACCATTGAATCCAAAGTGGTGTTTCTAGCTCTGCTCTTCCATACCACTTTTCTGTGAGGGGACAGTGTTTTTCCTAAATTACAGACTTTTTGGTTTATGAGGGCGAATTTATTTCCTAATTGTGTGGAGACTAGAAGGGAATTAAGTGGGCAAGTCCTTTAATTTAAAATAGGAAAGTGTATTACTGGCCTTGTTCGCTGATGAATCGAACATTAGGTATATTAATATTAGTAATGGAAGATAATGGCTACTTGTCAGAAGTAAAGATAATTATTTCAGGAACACAAAACTAAGCTTGACAGATAATTGCCTGTTGAAATCTGATGCTGTGCAACAAATGGAGGATTATTAACAACAGACTCCCACGTTCATCTGTTACGTCATTAAATCCTGTATGTTACATTGGCAGGGTTATCATTGCATTAAGAGCATCTCCCTCTTCTTGGAGATGCATGTCAATTCTGGATTAAAGATTTTGGTTGCCTGGGGTTGTTCTGTTCTAAATAAATTGTTTTGTTTTCCTCCAAAAGGTTGAGAAGCTCTGCATAAGTTTTGTCAGGTGTAGGTTATATAGGTATTTACTACTTGCTGAATGAAAAACAACCATCACTTCCATTTTGCTGATTTTTTTTTCTTTTCTTTTTAAAAAACCAAACTGGTCCTATTGTTTTTAAATGCATATTCATCCAGCAGGCACCTTGAGATCTGTGAAGATTTTCATTTACTGGACAAAAGTGTACTAACAGGAACTAGTGAAAAGAAGTTTGCAGGTAACAGACCCTCAGGCTCGAGAGAGAGTTTTCATTACATCAGTAATGAAACCTAAAATAACTTCAGTGAGTAATGTTATATTTCAGCCATTTGATTTTTTAAAATCAAGAGTAAACTTGTTGTTCAAATGCCTAGTGTAATCTAAACCAAGCAGTGGTCATTCAAACTTTGAAGTTTGACTGTGAACTTCATTAGACATGTGCTAGTTCAAAACTATTTGTTTGAAGTCTGTAGTTGTACCTTGAAAGATGGTTACAGACATTGTTTGGGAGAATGCCTCACAGTCAAGTCTTCTTCTATATCTAATCAAAATTTCCTGCTCCTTCATTTTGTGACTCAAATGTTAAGCTGTGTTTTCTGTCATCAGGTTGATATTAAGAATATAATGTTGCTGTAGTCACTTTAACAGTTTTCATCAAGAGCCGTCCCCAAATGCTGCTCAAGACAATAGTGGCAAGCATAAAAAGCACTAAAAACATCTTAAGATTTGTAGAGCAAATTGTGTTCAGAAAAAATTCAATTTGTATCAAAAAAGGCATTATTTACCTAATCATTCATGACTGGAAAAAAGCTGCATGAAAAATTGCCTTATTTCAAAAGGCAATCATGAAGGCTTCAAAGTACATATAATCTCATTTCTCTACTCTCATTTTACCTGCTTTCTCTCCCTGCACTGGAAAACTGCTGTCATAACTGTATCTATTTCCTGTAGGAGCTATTAGTTAGTAGCATTACATCCGCTTAAACGTGATCACTTTTCTCTTCTGTGTGTTACTGATACGCTATTATTATCCCATAATATTGCTCATCCATCAGAGCTTGCCATGTTTCCTGTGCTGATTGTAGTATGGAGAGCTGAAGTGTCCTCTAAAAAAATGTTCAGAGATGCCAGAATATTTTAATGATTCTGTGATGCTACAGAGCTACAACCTTCTTGTGGTGCATTTCAAGATCGGAATGCAAAATTTTTCTCTGCTTTTAATTCCTAAGCAAAAGCACTTTAACCATCAGTTTTGAATGTAACCATCTCAATTCCTCTTTATTTAAATGGCAGATTCATTAAAAACTCCATCTGGCTTCCATAGGAAGCTCACACAAGTCCTTGGAAATGGATTTTTTTTTTCAGGACACAAGGAGCTGTGGCCAGGATTAGAACCTCTTCATCCTGCAGCATACTTGCCAGATGGCAAGTTTATTGAATTTGGTTTTAACTCACTAGGGCTTAAAGGAATGAACACACCTCTGAGAAGTGGGTGCTACATTTCTACTTCAAAGGTCTCCTTTAAAATTAGCCTCCAAAGATTTATATGCAGAGAGTGGTTGTGACTTGGGCAGTCTGTTGCATATCTCTTATCTCTTTCAGTGCTGAGTCAGAATGACACAAACCACTTTACAAAATCCCAGTAATGTCACAAAACTGGGTGAATCTTGCTGTGTGGCTTAATTAATTTTTTATATAATTAAATATATTTATGTATATAATTATTTATTTTGCAGTATTGTAAAGACTCTTCACTTCAAATACTTGTTTTCTAAGTAAAATATGAAAATTTGACATATTCACTGGTGTCACTTAAAACTACCCTTGGATATTGTCCTCAATATGGAACTCTGCTTTGTACTAAAAACTTACACTTTCAATGGACAGTATTTAGTTTGATCAGGTTTAGGTTTGAATTGAGTAAAAAAAGAGCACGTGTCTATTTAAATCTCTTACAGCAGCTTTTTCAAATTTCTTGAAGTGGCTTTGCAACTTGTGAAATACATTTCCAGCTAATGATTGTGTAAATACTAAATTATTTTGTGGAGGGATCCTCTCTCTTCAAAATACAAAGCATTGTTTTGCATTTCTCTTATTTACAGAGAAATCAGAATTTTTATATTACAGGATTTTTTCCCTTTCTTTCTGACAATGGAAAAGACTCCTCCTGTGAACTGATGCCAAAGAACTTCAGAGTCTGCAGCATCAATATTAGCCCTTTCTTTCAGATGCAGAGCAGTGGGGATGCTGACTCTGCTGAGATGTAGCTGTGTGCCAGGTTTCAGGCATTCAAGTGGCCAAGTCTTTCATAATTATTTATGTGCTTGGTTGAACATGACTGTACCTGTGTGCAGCGTGAGCCCTCATTTGTAGAGCAAAGCATATAAAGATTTAGCACACTTGTTTAAGATAAGGAAGCAAATAATTGCAAGTCAAAATACTCCCTTTTTCTCCCTTTCCACTTCCCATGATACACATTGATATTGTTTATGTATACTCTGTGTAAGCTCCTTCTGCTCGAGGTGATTTTGTATCTCTGCAGCTATGCTGGTTCTTGTACTGTGCACAGGACTGCTACCCCAGTCTTGGAAATAAGGAAATAACAGCCACTGTTGTGTAAGCCTCATTTGTATGCATTTGTGAGTTGAAAGTAATTTTTTTAGTCTTGAGAAGTGAATTTTCAGTGTTAAATTTTTCGTGAAGAAATTTTCATTGTTTTAAAATCAAGTTTTTACACAAAATACCTCAAGGGGGGTCTATTTACTTGCACTGTGAGTGGGCTTTGTGTTTGAATATCACTTTACTCCTCTTGTTACTGAACCTATTTGTTAGGAGTTCTAGGAGCACATATTCCCCAAGTTTTCCTGTACTTCAAAAAAGATGGAGGGACTGAAAAAATATTTGTAATTTAATACAAATATTCAGAAATCTTACTTACAAAGAAGAGAGGGTGATAGCGCCAGAATCAAAAGTAATAATTTTTTTTTCTGGACAGAAAATGTCCAGAGTTAATGCTTTCCTAAAACTCTCAAAAATACTCTGGTTGGGTTCTCTTTGAAGTAATTCTTTTGGAACGAATTCACCTACCAGATTACTTTAACACTTTATTCATATATTGCAAAATATATGTGAAAAAAAATAATGGGCCTCTGAAAACCTGCTGGATGTAATTGCATCCAGGGATACAGATGATGTCTGAATCATTGCAAGGTACAATGGTTTCTGTGGTATTTCTAAATGAAATTAGAGGTCTCTTGTTTACAGTTTGTTTGTGGTGCACTCTGTTCAGTAGAACAGTGTATGGATCCAGTACTAATGCAGAATAAATATGTGCTACAGCCTGATGCTATTTTGAAGATGTTTTTATATCCCTAGTTTTATTTCTGCATTACCATAATTTCCAGTTGTATCTGTCTTGATTTAAGCTGAGAGAGCTTTGTATTAGTAACATATGGAAGTTATTATTGTTTACATTTGTTCAGCAGATGTGTGAGCTTTTTATATGCCTAACTCCTTATCAGTTGGATGAAGTGATGCATAATTCTGCAGTATTCAAGTATTCAGGCTGGATGAGAACAAGCACTGACTGTCAGTGCATGTAAAGTCCAGGAGTGACAGTTGCAGTATTTCAGTCTGTGTGAGCATCACTTTGTTCCCTCCTTGCAAATCAGTGATTTGTGATCACATTTGCAAGAAGTGAAATTGGAAGGGAAGCACTGCAAACAGGTAGAGAGGCCATTGCACAGTGACCTGGTGAGGTGAGATCAGACCAGCACCAAGGGGCAGTTGAGCCCTACTAACTAAATGTAAACGCCTTCAGTGCCAGGGTGGGAAATGATCAGGTCAGTCACAGTAATTGTACTGAAAAAAAAGTGTATGTTTCCCTTCTCCCTCACTTCTTAGCTTTGCCATCTTTCATATTTAAAATACTTAAAACATTTTCAGTATGTTTTTAAACTATTATTTTCTGTACCAAAAGTATCATGCTGGCCTGTTTAGAAAGGGGGAGCCAAAAAGGCTCTACAAGAGGGGTTTTGTGTAACCTTAGGAAAAGTGTGCAAGCCATTGATAAATTTTTGTGTTTTCTCTCAACAAGAAAACATGCTTAAAGGCTTTTTAAGTGTGTGATTTCATCTAAAGGGTTTTTTTTTCCTCCTTTGAATATCATCTGTGAGCTGATGGAATTACAACTGAGAGCACCAGATAGAAACTTAAATAAAATTTGGCAAGCAGAGCTTCCTTAAGTGTTCATCTTAAACTAGGCCTTGTCTACAGCAAACCTGTTTTACTTTCAAAAAGCAGTTAATTTTGTAATTGAATATAAACAATAGGCCATATTTTTGGTCTGTGTCCTTGGCTTCAGTGAAGTAAAACTGTATTTATTTACACCAGATGAGGATCTGCCTTTTTCCACATTTATTTTTAATGCTTCTTTACTTCTTAGAGAATGAAACCTTTGTTTCTTGGGAAGCACATCTATTAAGAAAACACCAGTGCCAAAATTATTTAACTGTGTCTGCCTCTTCTCTCATGTGCCTTCCTTTGCAGTGGCCTTGGGTCTCTACTTCCCCAGGAAGGAGTACTTGGAGAATGTCTACATTGACGAGCCGGCGGGAACGCCGCTCCTGCGCATCCATGCCTTGAGGGATTCACGTGAGGAAGTGGCCCACTTTCATCTCTGCCACAATCTCATAGTTCCTCGAGCAAGACCACAAGAAAATAATTGGTTCCAAATCAGAGAAGAAACGGGACTTCTCTACCTCAGCAAAAGTCTGGATAGAGAGGACTTCAACATGCTGTGTAAGTATGAGAAAACCAGCTTTTCTTCTTGAGGTGTCTGTTCTTAAAGAAAAATACATTTAGACAATGAGATCTCTCCATTGGAAGATGAGCATCACATTTGAAAAAAGCACATCTGACCTTTTAAAATGAGGAACCAGACCCAGTGAAATCCACAGCAGTATGCCAAAGCAGATGCTGACCTGGGACAGATCCTGTTGCTCAAATTGGGAACTCCAGTAGGGTGGGACACTTGCATTACTGGAAATATTTTCTCTGCGTTTCACAGCTGTATAGGTCACAGCTTTACACTGAAATTTGCAGTTTGTTCATCTGCTGATGAAAGTTAGACCAGTTCCATTATGTTAGGGATTCCAAGATAAATGCTGTGAGAGTGGTTCAGATTCTTAAGTAAATGGTCCTTGAATTCTGGTGACTTGGATTCACAAATTATGATTGCATGTAACACCAAAGAGCTCTTAGAAGAAATGGTTAATTGTACCTCTCTCCCTCACTTGAGATTTGGTTTTGTTAGGGAAGCTTACTGTTGAACTAAAACAATTCATTATCTCAGGGGTTTTTTCTCTTCTTTTATGCTCTAGCACTAAATTGGTTTTGGTGATTGTGATCTATGAGGAAATTAGTTATCATTAGATGGTGGAGGAGGAAATGGATGAGGAGATAATGGCATACCACTGTGATCAGTTGCAGAAATTTTACTGTTGAAGAGAGTCTGTAGTAACTGTCTTCAGTTTGTAAGATCCATATATCAACACTACCTTCAGAACTTAGGTGCTTGATGTTGAAATTTTCAACTTCAGACACTTAATGCTTTATTTTTGAAGTGCTGAGCGTTTGATATTTCATCCAGTTTTGGTACTTGGCATTCATGTATATCAAATATTTGTGCTGAACAAAGGAGGAACAGCTACTTAACACCCGAGAGCCTTGTTTTGTTCATACAGATCAAAGTGACCTAGAACTTCTTTTCAAGTGAGTTAGATCTATTACAGAGATATTACTGTGCTGTCTGTAGTCAAGGGAATCAAAACAAGGCTTGAGCATGTATTAGTGGATGCCACACGTTGGTTTTAACTTTGATTTTATCTTTTTTCCACCTCTTCATATTTGAAAACGATGAAGCAATCTGTTCTCTGAACCTAGACAATTTGGTCCATACTGTTGGAATGCTGTGACTGAAATGCTAGTCCTGATATGGATTTTTCCTGAGTATCTGTTGCCATCTCATGCATTATTTTTCCTGTTCTGCTCTAGTCTCTTCAAAAAGCAGTCCTATCAATGAGTTGATTACTGCCAGTGATGTGTTTTTATGTCAGTGTCTTACAGACAGAATGCTGATACTGGTTTTGAGATTCTATAATGCAAAATTGATGCCAAGCCCTGTAGTTTTAGGCTTATTTGGATTATTAAGGTCTAAGGTCTTCCCACCAGCATCTGGCATATTGAAGAGTTGCTTTGCCATATAATAGGATTTATGGAATAATGGACTGGGGTAGAATATAAGGAAAAGAAATGTTGGCTTGTCTTCTGTAAAATATTTCTTATGATGATTTCTTCCTCCTGAAGCTGTAGGAAATTGGATGCCATTGTCCAAGGTGATGCTGTATGTCTTCCTTTCATCCCACCCTTTCCAAGAGAAGGAATGTGACTCTCCTACACGCACCACAGTTTTCCTCTCTTTGATCAATGCTACTGCACCAGCTTGCAGTTCCCTGACAGCAAGGCAGCTTTGCTTCACAGAAATGGATCTCTCCTTTCACATCAAGGAGAATAAACCACCTGGTACATTTCATCAGCTCCGGTTACCCTCAGTTCATCATCTGTGTCAGAATCTCAGCATTTCCTACAAATTGCTTGCAGGTAAAACTGGATCTGAGCCGCTCACGTACTAGCAATAGATTCAAACAGCTGCACTGTTAAAAGAGCTCTTTTGTAGTAGGCCATTTAGATTTGATTCTATAAAGGAAGTTCCTTTACAAGCCTAAACTGAGCCTGAAGACTTTGCCTTTGAGATACATAGAGGAAATGGGAAGGAGGACTATCCCCTTCCCTAAAGAAAAGATCAGTTTTAGAATTTTAGATCTCTGCTAAAAGTAGACTGAGAATAATCCTGAGCTTTAAATTGTGCTGCTTCTAAACTGTAGAATCTTCCCATATATTCTGTGCTTTCTCCCTACTCTAATGTAACCACACAACTTCCTTCTGTTTCACTTCTGAATCTTTTACTGTGTAGTTATGCTGTCCAAATGGATTTACTGAACTGCAGAAAAGCATTAAAGCCATCAGAGCCCTGCACAGTAGGTGATTGTGGCTGTGTGTGTTTGGCAGGGGAAGGAGTTCCCTTTCGGTACAACGAGAACACCACCAGCGTGCGGGTGACGCAGCGCCTGGATCGGGAGGAGAGGGAGAGATACGAGCTCATTGCCAAGTGCACAGTCAGAGAGGGGCTCAGGGAAATGCAGGTGGAGGTGCCTTTCCTGGTGAACGTGTTAGATGAAGATGACTCTCCTCCCTTCCTTCCCAATGGCACTGATACTGCAGATGCCGTCGTGGAGTTCAACAGGAAAGAGGTAATGTTGGTAATGTTCTCCTTTACCTAGTCCCTGAAGTATGAGCACAGCAGTGGGAGACAGAACTCCTGGTAAGCATCATGTTCTGCCTGGATAATGGATCTTGGCAACAAGCCCATCACCATACCATGCTCTGCAGATCTGTGATTCTAAAATGCTGTTTGTAGGATTCCTTTGCCCCAAGTTATGTCTTACTCAGATCCCAAAGAAAGAGGAGTTTGGGTTAGTGATGAAAGAGTGTGAAGAAATTTGAGCAGTTTCCAAGGTTGGGATGGACATTTGCTGAGTCTGTGGTCAAGATCGCTGTGGGTCTCTCCATATAGCACTGCTCTATTTGTTACAGGGTTGCTTCTCCCAGGGGATTAAAATTGTGTTGTTAGAGCAAGTGTTACGTGCGTGCCTGTCCCATACATGCAAATCTGTTTAATGTATCAGGAGTATGTTCAGAACATTTACTAGGATGCTGTAGAAGTAGTGGCTGACTTCTACAGACAAACCACTGCACCTGTGAAGTTAATGGCGAGCTCCAGGATCTTGTTTTAATGGTTTTAATTTTTCCCTTGCTATGCCAAGCTGATCTTTCAAGAGATCTGAATCCCTGGGAGTCTTTGGTGCCCCTTGCTTCAGTAGAAAAGTACACATGTGAGCTCTTCGGAGGAGCAATGACCCTTTTTAAGTCAATGGTATAGAGAAGACTTTTTGTGGGGGGGCATAAATGATGTGTGTTTCATGAGAGAATTTCTGTTTCCTAACAACAAGATCTCTTGGTAGTCAATTTTCCCTTCAAAGTACATTTTTATTGTATTTGTGTCTGGAAGGGATAAAGACTGATTTTAGGAGTTTGCTGCCATCTCCTGACTAGAACAAGTCTTGACAAGACACTTATGAATACATTTGCCTGGGTTTCAGTGAAAGTTGTGAGGTGTTACTTGACCAGTATTTCAGTCTCCAAACCAGTTATCAGAAGAAGAAAGCTTCAGGTCCTTCAACAGTGCCATTTATTGTTTCCTACCAGGGCACTGTTCTTTCCACGCTGACTGTGTACGATGCAGACACCACACCTATTTATCCCATTGAAAGCAGCAGAAAGAAATACACAGGAACCATCATTACTGACGATCCCTGGATAAGTGAAACATTTCGTGTAGAGCACATCTTTGATGAAATCCACTTCAGCCCAAATGGCAGCCAAGTGAGGGGAACTCGGCATGAGTACAGTAAGGACTCTTTCTTCAAATAAAGGAGAAGTTGCTTTTTAGTAGATGACCAATAATTCTTGAATTTTTCTGAGCATTTTGTAAGTATTGAGCCAAAGAAAGCTGAGAAATTTCATGTAAATAAAACACTGGGTTTTAAATATGTACTGAAAAAATGGAGCTTGTGCATCTCTGCAGTAGGGAGTGTATGGGATGATGATGTATAAACTGATAAGTGAGAGGTTTTGATTGTAGGATTCTTGACTTGGTAGGTAGAAGGGAAGGAGGCCTCCTAAACATCTTGAATGACAGAGAGCTTAAGAACATATTTCATATTTAAGTTGCCTTCTGTTTCCTATTAGGAAAGTTGGATGTGTATAATTAAATTTGGTACATCTATTTTTGTTGGGCTTGCAATATTAAAAGATTCATTTGCAGATCATGTGGGTTGCTAATAGATGAATCTTTTCCTTCACAGAACTGGTACTGAATAAAAGCATTTCAGTCACAGAGCATCGTTCCTTCCAGCTGGATGTTTTGGTGAATGACACAGAATTCCATGGCCCAGAAAGATCGGTGATGCTCCATTTCAATGTCTCCATCCTCCCTGTCAGCATTCAGTTTTCCAACATAACTTACCAGTTCACAGTGAACAGAAATGCTGAACGTTTTGCACAAGTAAGAACCATATTAATTATACATCCCCTTTCTAATGGAGCTTATGAGCTGGATCACTGGGGCCAGATGTGTTACAGCCCTCGTTGGTTTTAACTGTTTTAAGCAGAGTCACTGAAAAATGTGATTATCATTGTGATTGTTGCTGGATGTAGGAGGTAGCAGGTAGGCTGGGCACTACCTCTCCCACCATGTAATAACAGAGGAGGAGCCACACATGGAAGTACTGATGGAGAGAAATAACATGTTGTGGACAGGAGGACTTGAAACCGTGAGTGGCTTAGGCATGAATAACTGCAACAATGTCAAGGGCAAAAAAACCAAATTAGTCTAGCTATTGGAGTCTCGGTATATTAATGGCTTTTCTTTAGGTAATGGCTAGTTAGTAATTCATGTGTTTCCTAATTTAACCCTTGTTTTAGCCTAATCACCACCATTGCCATTAATAATGCTTTCCAGAGACATTTTCTAGCAGGTTGACATTAGTTAGGTGAAAATTACAATGTAATTCCTATGAAACATGTACATTAATAAGGCACTAGTTCAATGCAATTAATATTATGAAAGTGAATATTAAAAACATCAGTGATGAACCCTTTTGTGTCTGGAAGAGTTGGAAAGCATGCCTTGTAATATTGTAGCAGAGAGGAGGACTGAGATTAAAATACGGTCATCCCAATTGCAGAGAAAACCAATTCATTAGGAGAATTTTAAGGAAGAATTAAGTTTCATTAATCTTTAAGCCTCTGGCTAATTTTAAAAAGAAAGAAAAAGGGAAGTTAGATATATTGCATGTTATTATATCTAATCTGATGAAATGTGTTGCTGCTTGATAGCTCTTCAGAGTACAGAACAGGCTTTACTCTGACAAGGGACATTTTGTCCATAGTCTGCACTGAATATCCTAAATAAGAAAAAGGTACCAAGTGTGCTCATGTGGGTGCCTCACTACAAAAGCTACTCCTTTAGGATATTTCATGATGCCTTGTGGCTGCAGTTTTTCAATTTGCAGTCAGTTAGAAACTTCAGAGGATAGTCTGTTCTTTTTGTGTGGATCAAATTATTTCTGATGTTAGGTTTGAGGCTTTTGTAGCACCAGGCTGTGAAAGCTTTACCCTTGCCTGTTGCCTGGTGATGGGGTGAAACCTGGGTTTCCCCCTAAAAGAAATAATAGCACAGGTATGTAAGATACTCATAGTCTAGCTCTTGCATCTAAACCCTTGTGTCTGTGTCACGGCGTGACTGCAATTGAAACAAATGTGGACACTTATCTGTTAGGTGTGTATGAATTTAGATTAATGAATTGGTTGGGTTGTTTTCTGTGCATGTTTTTATATATAGGTTTATGCATACAATATTATTGTGAATGAATGAGTTCCAGATTAAATTTGGACAGCCATGGTTATCTCTGCATACCCTAGATGACTTGAACACTTCAGTTTTAAAATCTGAGAGTATGTGGATTTTTTTAGTTTTAGGGTGCAAAGCAAAAAAGCCAGTTGAATTTTAAAGCTACTGGTGTGGAATATTGTCATGAGAGTCAAACATCTGAAAAGGAATTTTAGGATCTTTGCAAACAGTGGCATTTCACACTAATTGTGCAGTTTCACTGGGTGGCAGTAGTAGCAGGGGAAACTGTTCCTGGCAAGAGCTCCAAGTTTCTGGGAGGAGATCTTTTTCTTTGTGCTGCCTAAACACAAATTCACAAAGAGATTTTGTTCTGATTCGTGAGCAGCGAAGTGCAAAACTCATCCTGGCTCTGGAGGTGGTGTTCTCAGTTAGTTAAAGTGTCATCCACTTACTTGTGAAACTGGATTTGAATTTACAGTGTGCTCAGCTTGGAGCACAAGTCAGTGTAAGCAGCTTAGTCCCCAGCACTTCACATTATTAAGGTTGGCTGCATAATTAGCCTTGATGTGCCAGAGTAGTCAGGGAAAGTACTGGGCCAAATCAATATGAAGGCTGAACTGTCTCCTGCCCTAAGGAAAACACAGGAGCGTGAAGAAATTATTAACTGCTGGGCTGATGCCATTTGTCTATTTGAGCAGCTAAATGAATTGAATAACAGAAGCACAGCCTGACAGTGCAGGCTTGCCCAGTGGCATTTAACTTATCAAAGGACTTAAAGCTCTATTGACATTTACTGAGACAAATGATGAATAACATTGGCTGAGATTTTTAGAGAGGTTATATTTGTCCAAATGTTCCTGGAATTCAGTGAAGAGGAACAGTATCATTATCCAGACTTTATTAAACATTGGAACTTGAAAGATGGATTTTTCTGTTCTTATTTCTAATAATGGTATTTCTATGTTAACTATTGAGAGTCCTGCAAATTTGTAGGTTCCTCCCCTGTAAGCTGATGTTAAACCTGACTACCCTTTACCCTGATTACTTGTTTTGTCACCTTTTTGAGAAGGGGGAAGTAGCTGCTTTTACTTTTTTCTTCTGGAGTTGTGCTCTGCTGCACCTGAGAGCTGAACTGGCTCCAGAACTTGTGGAGCAGAGCAAAGTTATGAGGTTGGGCTTTCCTCAGCGGAATCAGGAAAAAAGAGAGAGTCTATTTTTCTCATAGAAATTTCTTGAGGGAGGCCTTTATAGCTTCTTCTCTGATTATATGGAGAAAGCAAAACTGGCCAGTGTTCTATTCTAAGGAATAAACTGGCTGATCTGCTCTTCAGATTTTATGGGGTCATCTGAATTTACAGGGTCTTCTCCAACCCCACTGAAGGAAATTGTTGTGATGACAAAGGTGCCTGGAAAGAGCAGTTCTGACAGAGTAGGCAGAAAGGGCAGTTCAGTGTGGTCTGTGCAGAGGTTAATGCCAGGATCATCAGTGTGTTCTCCTCCTGCAAGGAGCACCATCTGAGCAGTAGCAGAGCACTGCCAGTTGCAGTGCGGCACCAGAGCTGTGCTGACGTGCTTCTGGAAGGGACATGTCTAGACCTTGTGTCTAGACAGAGTTTGTGAACAGTGGAAATCTTGTCTTCTTCCTGCCAGTCCCAGCATGTTGTGCAGAGGAGACGGCCAGAAAGAAATGTCTTTGCTTTTGATGGCTTTTATAGTCTTTCTGTGTTATCCTGCCACCTAAAATCCCAACAGGAATGGTGCCAAATGACCCATCAGTGATGTGAATGGGAATAAGTTAGATGAAGTGGGATTATCCTATAACAAAGTTTGCTTCTAGAACTGCAAAGGCTTCTTCTCTGACCTTAAATAGTCCAGGTTCATGGGAAGAGGTCTTAGTACACAAAAACGTCTTTGTTTTATAACTTTCTTAAATAAGAATGCTGGAACCAAGATTTACAGATATGCTTTTACCAGCAGTGGTGTTTCTTGAAAACATTTCTTAACTGCAGCATTTGAAAATAATCCATCACCAAGTTCCTTTCAATAACACCCCACCCTTCACATTGTGGTTTTCCCTGCAAAGAAAGCCAATGCCTCTGGGCCTGATGGAATTCCCACTCTTGTAAATGGAAAAACCAAAGTGAGCTTTGGATCAGTTCCTGTAGGAGCTGGACAGGAGATGGGGCTTTACATTCCTGTGCTTCTTAGATGATGTGTTTTAGACTGAGGAGTGTTCTAGCCTAGATACTCTGGCACACAGAAGTTCAAATATGGCAAACCAGCATATTTTCATTTTTAGATTAAAATGTTTTAAAATTGCACATGGGAAACAATGCGGTTCTTGTTCCTTTTAAGGCCTTCAGAGAGCTCTTCTGGCCGGAAACTTTTTGACTGTAATATAAAATTATGTAATAGCAATTTCTGTGTTATTTGAAGAGTGTCTCAGCTTTGTTCATGCTGAGCTCTTTGATTTCTCAAGGATGACAGAAGTTTTTTCAATGGTCAACCTGGGACAGAACAGAGATTGAACTTAGAATTTCCCAAATCTTAGGGTCTTGTTCCCACTGAACACTGCTGCCCATCAGCAGTAGTCACCAAATACCACTGAGTCTGTGTCAAGGCTTTTTGCATTTTCACTGCTAGTCTGAAGACAACAGTTAATGCTTTAAGTCTTGTTTTTACTGAGAATAAATCACATTTCAAGCATTTACATACTGCATTTGTAGGAAAATAACTAATCTAGAAACCCCAAATAAACACTGAATTTGGCAAAGGTATAGTATGCTCCATTTTATTTCAGATATTTTTGAGAAGCACAAAGTATTTTTAGTGTAGAGTTTTGTTCCTGTCTGTGATTTCTTTGTTGGTGTTTGAGCCTAGGTGGGAAAGATCTGCATTGAAAACTGCATGAAATTCCGTGGTGTAAACATCACCTACAAGTTGCTGTCCCCCAACTCGAGCTGCTATCCTGTTGGCATTCTGCAAGGCCGAGAGGACAAATTTGGGAGCCTCTTTGTGAACGATTCCTCTGTGCTGCGCAGACCTGAGTGCAAGGAAATACAGTACACTGTGCAGGCTACTGACAAGCAGAGCAGGAAACACACCAAAACCCTCCTCACTGTTGTCCTGGAAGGGACTCGTAAGTACCCCTGTCAGAACTATTGATTTATTAGCAAGTGTTGCTGGGGTGAGGTGATGCATTAGCAGGGTGATCTGTAAAATGGGGGCATTAACAATGAAACCGAGTCTGAGCTACAAGATAATGGATCACAGAGTTTGGATTTTGAATTTTGAATTTTGATTTGTGCCTTCCTGTAGTAGCTATTTATTTGAGGAACTAATGCACAGAGAGGTGAGATATTATATGCAATTCATAATGTTCATGATGACCTTTGATTAAGAAGAATCTTTAGTTTGTGTGTGTCTGTGTGACCTTTATTTTGTATTTCACGTATTCCTGTGGAAGAAGAAAAAGGGTCTATAGAGGGGTGTGTGTATCTATCTATTTGAAGAAAGAACTATACGGCCTAAGTATGTTTGTTCACTGAGTTCACTAATTTTTCTCCTTCCTTCTCTCTACAATTTTTAAAATAGTTTTCTTAGTATTCATGTAGCAATCACACTGAATTCAAGCTCTTAAGGGCAGTGTGATGACCCACCCTTATGGGGAAGGAAGTTAAAAATATCCTGTAACACCCACAGAGGAGGATTTCACTGTAAACATACTCATTTCTCTGCAATCTATATTGCATTTTATGCAAAACCATACAAATGTACCTGATCAACACCTCTGTTACATTTTATCAGTTCAGAACTCCTATGACCAGAGCAAATGGGTTGAAGGAAAAGAAACAAAAACATGCAGTGGACTTCTCTTTTTGTACAAGCTTTGTATTGTCTGAAAACATACATTTCTAGCTGGTGCTCTTTGGGTTACTACTGTGTTAGCCCAAGAACTAAATATTTCCCCTTAATTAAACATTTTGTATGAAGCTGTAGGTATTTGTGCTCTCCATTCTTCTGTTATCAGTATGTTTGCATATATCTATAGTTCTAGGCAGTGACAGTGTGCTGTCAAGCAGACATAACCACGCCTTCATGATCTTGCTGTTCATCTTTTATTTCACGGAGAAGGAGCACCTGGGCTTTTCTGTAATTGTTCTCTAAGTTAACTGACAATTGGGTCAGTCAGTTTTCAGTCTTTCACTGCTTTGTTCATCTGTCTTTCCTTCCTATCTATCCCTAAAACCAGATTTCCTCTTCTGAGCTGACCTGCTTATGTGCTCATTTCCCTTGTCCTGAATTTTTCCCAACAGTTTTAAAAAAAGAAGAGGACTGCCCTGACTCTTGTGCTATAAGTAAGCACCGTGCTGAATGTGAAGAGTGTGGTGGCCTGGGAGTGCTAACAGGAAGATGCCAGTGGAGACAAGGGAGTGGGAAAGGTACATTTATGTTGTGTGAAGTCAAACTTCTGTTTGGTTGTAATCGTGCCTTTGAGTTCCATAGATACAAACTGATTTATTCTGGCTGGAAAACATGGTATGGTGAACTACACAGAAGCTGGGGCTAAAAAAAAAATAATCATAATACCCATATGAAGTATGCACTAAAAAGGAAAATGAGGTGAAGTTGGAAGGGCCATTCTTCATCTTGTCTCTGGTGATGCTGAACATGATACATAAACCAGGAGGCAGTGAACTGAGCTTGCAGCAGTGTGACTGGAGCAGGTGCTGAGCAGGTGCACCCAGCAGACAGTGAGCACAAAGCAGTGTCTCTTTCTGTGCTCTGGAGCACAGATCTGACTGGTGATAGCACTCGACTCTTCCAGAACAATGATTGTGTGCCGGTGCTTGATCCCTTCAAACTGCACAGGTGTCATACGTTCTCTGCAACCACTTGTAACCCTCTCATTCAAGTGGGTGAAATTGTGTAGAGAAATCCTCAGATGTGAAAGCTGCTCTTCAGTCTCAGAGTGGTCAGCCAGCTCTTTTTCAAGCAATATTCACAGTAACTGCAAGTGACATGACCAGAGGGCTCTCAAAAGTAGAAAAGATAACAAAAAATGGTTTCCTCATTTGCTTTTATTTGTTGTCTTGCCTGTTACTTTAGCAGGTGTTTGTAGTCATAGATGTTCATTTTAAAAGGTACCATAACCTGTGGTTTGGAGTGCTGGTGTGCCCTGAGAAGATACAATGAATTTTCCTTCCTTGTGGTATTAGTGCAGCTGTTTCTCTGTTAACAGGGATCACCACAAACTACTCCACGTGCACCCCAAGCATCAAGACTTGTCCAGATGGAATCTGTGATGTGGTGGAGGGCAGAGACCCGGCTGTGTGTCCCCAAGACTGCACAAGTAGGGAATGTTTTAGGATGGGCTTTTCTGTTACACCTCTGATTGCTTCTCAAATGTCACTTTGCCGAGCACAGATACTTTTACAAGCTCAGCATCTCCGCATTGTCACACTTGTATTTGAATCATACAGTCGAGTTAAGGTTATGGGGATTAATCTCAACCTTTTTTGAGCCAGGCAGGTGACACCCATTGGCTGACTGATGGAAGGATAAGGTGTTCTCAGCAGTTCCCATTCTGCTGCCTGTTCATTCACAGGTGGTGATTTTCAGTGGAGGTACTTGCTGAAGAGGTTCAGGTTCTAGGCACATTAATGCCCCACTTCCTAGCTCAAGTACAGTATGACAGGAACCAGTCTATTTGAGCTCCTGGGTAAATGAGTGAGAAGAGACAAATTTCTGTTTAAAATAAATGTGTTTACAAGGGATCATCTGGGGAAATGTAGCTGCCCTTTTTTGACAGGTGGCCATCAGAATGATGCAATGCCTTACCTATTTGAAGATCCAGGCAGATACTCATATGAGCAGAATTTATGAAGGAAGAATTTGAATGCATTTGTGTTGGATCTTTTTACTTGACCATATATTTCTACACTCCACTCATATACCTGTGAATACTTGCAAGTTCACAACTCACTCTGAAGATATACAGGGTAGAAAAAACAGTGTAATTCTCTTGAGCAATTTCCATCTTCTGAGAGATGATAATTTTTAAGTGGGTCTTTTTATCTGACAGTCTAATTCAGGAATAAAGACACATGTTTTTTGAATGCTGCTTCTGACTCTGACATAATATACTTCAAGTTGAGATTTTAAAATGGAGTCTTAGAGGAACTAGCATTTTCTTAAAGCCTGGAACTTAATGTTCTTCTATAAAATTGATTACTAAAGAGGCTTCTTAGTATTTCTTACATGCAAGAATGGATTGTGTATTGTAAATTAGTGTTATCAGAAAGATAATTATTTCATCAGAGTGTATAAAAACAATGCCTTAAGTGGGAGAAATGCGTGAAGGAAATGCAAGTAACTTCTCTAATCATCTGAGAAGAATTCTTTATTGGTAATAATTGCAATAGCTTGTCATTTTGAAAGTGGAATTTGTGCCAGGGGCTGCGGTACTAAAATATGTACAACATATGCAGCATCAAATGTTTTGCTCAAAAGAAATATTGTCTTTCTGGATAATAAGCAGGCGAGTAAGACAAGTTTTCAGGATGTTATGCAAGCCCTTTTAACGCCTAAGCTGAATAATTGTGTACATGACTTGACACAATTGAGAACCTGGGCTGATGCCCAAAAGCAGTGTACTTGCAGACAAAAAAATGAGTGTGTTCTGGGGGCTCAGAGCTGCAGGAGTCCCATTTTATCAGCTTTTACTGTCAGGGGACATTCCTTTGGAAATGGCAAACAATAAATAGGCCAAGATGTGTTAAGATCAAGGATATTCTTTAGGTTGTAAAAATACTTATTTCTGTAATTCATTTGTCATTATGATGGCTATGTCCTTGAGTCCCAAAATTGCTTTCTCACAGTAACACTATGAATATTACATTCAAGGGCACTAGCTGAAGCAGCTGATGCTGTGGCTGTGCCTATCACTTAGAGGCAACCTAACTGCATTGTTAGCAAGAGATTTTCATGTAGTAAGCAACTGCTCAAGAACAGGTTAAGTAGGACTGGCTCATTCCCTGCTTCCATCTACTTCCAGGTTTTCAAAGATAGGCAGGTATAGATAAATGCATACAATTTTCCGTGGGAAATGGAAACTTTATTTCATCACCTCTTCATGACGGAGGAAGTTGGCTGGGGAGAGGCAGGGAGGATAGTGAGGAATTTTTGGGAACACCAGTGCTTTTAGGTGTCAGCTCAGAGGGCAGTGACTCAGCAGAGTCTCATCCAAAATTAACCACCTGAGCTGCCTGTAAAATGCTCTTTGTGATAAAGGCAGCTTAGAGATAAAAATGTCCCTGCTAATAGTAATTTTTATAACATATACAGAAAAAAATTATTTACTTGGAAATGCAGTTGCTGTTACTCTGCGTGAAGAACTACTTGAAATCAAGAGTACGAGTTTCTGCAATTTTTTTACTAATATTAAATAATGCATTTTTAGATAGTGCAATTCATTTTTTTATCACTTGCACTAGACATTTACTCTTAGTGCTTTGACTAGACTGTCCTGTGGCATTTTGCAGAGGTAGTTAAGTGTTGTTATCTCCGTGTGACAGTGGAACCAATGATACCTGGAACTGACTTTTCCAAGGTGTGGGGAAATTGGCATCAGAAGCAGGAACAGAACTCAGTAACAGCTAATGAGGACTAATGTTTAAACAGTGCAAGGTCCTCCCATTTCAGCATCTCAGAAATTTCAGAATTTAGAGTCTTCCATCTCCCTCAGGAGTTCGTGTCATTATCCCTGCACTGTGCTCCCTGGTTCAATTTCACATTCATACTGGGGTAAACCCATGGAAAACTGAGTCTTTTCTTTTCCCTTTACCTACATGTAAGAATCTTAGCCTGTTGTCTGTATTTGATTAGGTGGAAACATTATTGGTGGCCATGGGAAGGGTATTGGAAATCTTGGAATTAAGTCAGGACATGGGATTTGTTACTGCTTCCCAAGACAGAACTGTTACTGTGAGAAAGATGATATCAAAGGTAAGTCTAGCTGCTGTTCTGATAGTAATCTTTTTCTGTGTATACATCATCAGTTCTATATGTACATACATACATATACAGTTCTATATGTTCACACATCACTGTGTGTACATATAGAACTGTCTACACTTGTAGCCATGTTAATAGACCATATCTTTGGTCAGAGACTGCTAATACAAAACTAGTGAGGAACTGGCACCATGACATCCACTATGGAGCCTGAAAATTTCCAGAATGTGTTATTTATAGCCATGGCTAAGGATTCATTTTTATTCATTACTACTTGACAAACAAGTCGGTCATCCTTTGATTTCCAGCCACATTTCCATTTCAGTGAGGCTTACCTGATATTTGCAGAGGCAGCTAGGAGAATTAGAATGATTTCTATTACTTTCAAGTAATTCCAGCTTCCTGATAATTTCTGAAAAATCTCAGCTTCAAAATGTCAGAGACAACCATCACCCATGGTGTCAGGAGGAGGAGTGCATTATTTTTTTCCTTGACCTTTCTGTGCAGTTGTTTGAAACAGATAATGGATATTTTAAATCATTTTTATTTTGGCTAATAATAAACATAGCATGAAATAGTTTGCGTCTTGAAAAATGAATTATTATGCAGAAGAAAGAGACCGCAAGGAAAGTTCTAAGAAGCTCTTCTTGGTCCACAGAGCAACTGTGTGATGACATGTGCAAGACTGTGATCACAGGGGCAGTGGTGCTGTGCTTTGTCATCTCCGTGCTGGTTTCTTTCTACTGCATCCACCGGTACCACAAGAACTCCCCGAAGGCGCCCATCGCCTCCGCCGAGATGACGTTCCGGCGCCCCGCGCAGTCCTACCCCATCAGCTACTCCTCCAGCAACGTCCGCCGCCCTTCCCTGGACTCCATGGAAAACCAGGTGGCTGTGGACACCTTCAAAATACCTGTAAGCCTGATGCCTTTTTGCATGCTCTGTTTTGGTGTCGGCCTTGTTTGTGCATGCAGATGATGTTACAGGAATGCAGTCCATTCATGGAGGCACCCATTACCTTCAAACAGCACCACTGGAAATCAGGTGCACTGAAGATACTTCATGAGTAATTAGATAAACATTTTGATTTGCTGTATAAGGCCAGTACGTTCTTCCTTTTTATTATGCTTTAATACACTGTAACATTTTAGGTTAATTTAAGCCAGTGGTTTTTACTGATGTAACTGTATCTTACAGTACTGTAGTTTTACTTTTAACATTGTCCAGTTAAGCACTAACAATCAACAGGTTTGTACTGTCTGTGATGTGCCAAAGTACTACAAGGCTAAGTTTCAAACATTACAGAAAAATCCCTCCTGAGATCTCTTCCTGATCTCTGATATACACATTGTAGATACCAGTTGGTGTGGGAGTTTTACCCACACATTTAAGGACTTTTGCCCAGTCATGCTGTCATACCTTTACTCTACTTTTTCCTGCTTTCAATCACAACTACCCAGGATTTCTGTGAGATGGGGTGTTTTCAGGAGCCAGCATGGTAGAGAAACACTGCTGCTTTATATGGCAGCATCAGATCTATTTGAGTGTTAGATAGTGAGGTTTTCACAGACCTTGTGCTCTGTTTGCTTTAATTTCTTGTCTGGTTTGTACATCTGTCATAATTTTGCAACATTAGAGGTTATTAGCACAAATTTTATAAGAGGATAATTGTTGTCTCTGATCAATTCTTAAGGGGAAACCTTATTCTGTGAGTAAAACTTCTCCATGAATGTCACATGTTCAGAGTTATTCTGAAGGCAAGCATTTATCCTGTATCACTTCATTTTTCATTTGTACCCAATTTCCCAGACCTGTAAATATAATCCATTATCCATAGACTACGTGTACAGCCTATTTTGAAGGTTTTCAGGTAAGGGAAAATGCATTTGCAAAATACCTTCATACCCAGAAGCTTTTATAAGAACTCACTGATAAAAAGAGCAGCCAAAGACTGCACACTGAAGTGCACCTATTCCTGGGAATAGCCTCTCCTTTCCTTGCTTCATCTCACAGGGTTTCTTTTCTCTCCTGCAGGAGGATCCAAAGTGGGAATTCCCTCGGAAGAACCTAGTTCTGGGCAAGACTCTTGGAGAGGGAGAATTCGGAAAGGTCGTCAAGGCGACAGCATTCCGACTTAAGGGAAGGGCTGGCTACACCACTGTGGCAGTGAAAATGCTGAAAGGTACCTTCCCACTGGGGCTTTTGAAATAATCTGCAAACTATTTGTGGTAACCTCTGCACAGATTTGAAGAGGGGCTTATGTGAAACCAAAAGGTCAGCTAAAAACCCAGCATTGCCACAGCTTCTCTTTCTTCCAGCATTCTGATGCATTCTGACAGTCACAATCTGCAGATTTGTGACTTTAGCAGTTAGCATCACATTGATCCAAGTAAGTAATTCTAAATCATGATCTGCAAGGAGCCTCTGTCTTAACATAGCAAATATATTCAATTCTGTTTGGCATTGATGGGAATATTGCAAGGGTTTGTTAAAGCTTTCTGATTCTTTTCCTCTATCCACTTTCCTTGGACAAAGCTTTTTAAATAAATCATATGAAGAGACAGAACAGACCTGTTAACTTACTCTCCTGTTTTAGAATTCTGTCTAGCTTTATGCTTTCTGATCTGCTTTTCAATCACTAGGAGCTCTGTCAAAATGGCTTGAATAACCCAGTGCTGTCTCCTGCTGTCTTCAGTTTACCCTAAGACTTTAAACCTGTGGGGAACAAAGTATGCCTAGATAATGTTAAGATGATAATATGAGACCTTGCACTGAACCATTCACTGCTGCTTGGGAGTAAAAGCACGTCATTACAGGAAAATGTTATTCTTCTTATTGCCATTTCTGTTACATTCACAGCACATTTGCCACTCCTTGAGAGGAAAGATGCTGCATATCCCACCTCTTTACCTAAGAAGTAAAAGCATTATGCAGTGAATGCCTTCATTGCAAGAGGTGCAAGTCACATGGAGGAAGTTTAGGAACTAGGATTTTTCAGAAGTGAAGATTATTTAACTATTACTTGTAATACTCAAGTAATGACCTGGATTGTATTACATTGTCAATACAATAGTCATTAGTTCATCTCATGTTTATTTGTGCACTTAGTGACACTGCTGTTTCTAGCACATTTCATCAACATGTGACTGAGTTCAGATTCTAAGACAAAGTGGTAAAAATGTTGCTTTTACTTGCAGATGGTTTGACATTCAGTTTTTCCCTGTCTATTATGAAGGACAGAATTGACTAAATTGACAATGTGAAGGAGTAAAGCTTTATTTTAAGCACCTTATTTTAATAAATTGATCTGACATATACAGTAATACTTCAAGCTCTAATGAATCCCTCTGTAATGTAAATTAAATTGAAGATAGTCACCTGAAATTCCATTTTCCAGCTTGACTGTGGAGAGCATTTGTCATTCTGCAAGTATTTGTGTACTGTTATTGGCTTAACTTTACTGTTCACACATGACAATTGAAGCATAAGGACCAGTGCATTAGCTTCAGTGGCCTTTGCAATGCTGCCAGGAAGGACAAAGGGCAGTTCTTTTGGATCAGGCCAGCACCACCCATTCTTGCCCTGTACCAGATGCAGAGCAGATCATTTGTCCAAGTGTTTGGGGCTGTTGTACACTGAGTGATCTTTAAAGAGCAGTGCTAGGCACACCAGAATGTTATTGCCTCTTATTGCATGAAAGAGATCTCCTGCCTGAGCTGAGTAGAGGGGCACAATCTGGGTAAGAACAGACCAGGGCAGGACTCTCCCTTCTGTGACAGCTTGGTGTTAGGTACTGTGGAGGGAACAGGGAGCAGTGGGCTGAGCCAAAATAGTTTTGGAGCTATGGAGGGAGGTTTAAAGGAACAGATGGGTAATTTTTTTTCAGCCCATTATTACCACTTTTCTCATATTAATTAAATTTGACCTCCTACCTGATATGAATGCCCTCATTACAATAAAATTAAAGGGGAAAACACCAACCAATACATAAATATAAATATTCACAGTTTGTTAAAATGAGTGGCCTAAAGCTTTAGAGCTAAATGTCTCCATCTTGAAGTTAGTTTTTTTTGGTAGACAAACAGGCATGGTACATGGTTAACTTTGCTCTGTTCTGTTTGTTCACATCACACAGCTCCACAGCTACAAAAATAGGACTTTTCTAACAGGCATTAAGTTGACATTCTTGATTTTTGTTTTACATAAATATGTTGTTTTTGTAGTCTTTACTAGTAGTGAGAGACCAGCTGATACTGTTCTCCTTGCAGTAGAAGATTCTCTACTCAGAGTGCAGATTCTGACTACAAGATAATATAAGGCAGATACAAACGTGTAGTTCTGATACAAACATAACAGTAGAGCAGAATAACTGGTTTTATAAGGAGGGCAAACTGGTCACACATGAATAGGCAAATAAATCCTTTGGTGCTCACAGCCTTTATGAAAAAAGCACACAGTTCAGTAGCAAAGAGCAGAAGCCAAACTTGTTTTTATTATCCTTAAATCAGGATGAACACATCCTTGTCAATGCCCAATAATGACACTTGAGGAACTGTCCAGGCTGGTTCTGCGTGTCAGAGAAATTAAGGATGAGGAAGAAGGTTTATCTCTGACCTATAGTGTCTATGTGACTAGGGATCTCCTTCAAGCCCCAGTGCACTCAAAGAGGAAGCTTGTCCGTCTGAAGAATCCTGCAAAAAGGCAAAGCACTTGAAAGGCAAAGAAAGCCTGTTGGGACCATATGTTGCCACATGATTCTCACTGACATCAGTGAAGTCTGCATACGTGTCCCACAGTAAAATCAGTTTGTACTGTACATTTAGCTTCTGAACTCTAAATCTGGATGCATGCTACAAGAGTAAGCCAGTAGATTAGTGGATTTTTACTCTATTGGAAAATTTATTTAGGAGAAGGAGTGAGTGAGTCTGTTTTGGTTTGATCAGCATGACAGCTTGGCTTTCCTATGCTTCCGAAGCTTTTATTGCACTGATTCACCCTAAGAAGTTGCTTTAGAACACCAGCAAAGGTCTGTAATAATTTCATGGCATCTTTAAGACATTACAGACTCTGCTCCTGATTCCTGCCTGACCTCCTTGTTCTGCAGTCATTAGTATCAGGGCACAGCAATGCCTAAGAGCAGGCTGCTACCAAGCCACAGCAGCAGCAGTCACATTCACTTGGTTCTGATGGGAATGGCTGCAGGACACCAGAGATGGGGAAGTTTCTCTCCTGTGGGGAAATGCAGAGTTTTCCAACCTCTTGCTAACTCTGGGAGAGATGGCAGATCTCATATTTCAGACTTTACATAGAGATCTCGTGAGTGATGCTTTCCTAACCAAAACTGTGTGTTTGGTCACTTTGTGCAGAAAATGCTTCCCAGAGTGAGCTGCGAGATCTCCTGTCAGAGTTCAACCTTCTGAAACAAGTCAACCATCCTCATGTCATCAAACTTTATGGAGCCTGCAGTCAAGATGGTAAATACTAAAAGCTTGTTACTAAGATGAAACCATTCAGAAAGGAAATAAAATGCAGTTTGTTGCTGGATTTCAACAACTACTTGATAATTGTTGAGCATCCTTTAAATTTGCTGTTGGCTGAAAAAAAAGAGGGATATATTAAAAAGCAATACTTGAAAGAAAAGGGAAATACTAATTCAGTATAACTAAACATTCTTCCTGGGGTTTTCCTCAGTGCACATTTTGATTGTGAAGCTATTTTAAATTAACAAGTCTCCTACAAATTCTCTTCCCATCAATACATATTTTTATATTATGTTAATAATCAGTGTTTTCAAATATGAGTTATATTTCAAGTTTAATTGAGTTTTCATTACTGTTGTTATTATTTATCCTAAAAAATGTAAATAGACAACTACAGTCATATATAGATGAAGATAGCTGAATAGTTCGGTTGATTTTCAGTTTTCTTCCACTGTCTCAAAATGGTTCTCTCCCTCTGGTTATGAAATTTTTTCTAAAAGCCACAGTCATCAACAAGGGGTAAAATCTGCAGACATATGTATTATAAATTGTCAATGAAGCAAATTTAGTTGTCCATAGGAATTGCTCATTTTAAGTGAAGTGGCATGGCAACATTCTCTTCCTTTTGCATCTGCAGTTGTGCAGCCTAAAATCACAGCATGGGTTCTGCAACCTTCTTTGCCCACCCAGTTCTGTTGCAAATGTCACTTTTTAGTTGTAGACAGAGAAGGTAATTCAGGAGTGAGTCATCTCTGAGTCTTAGTAAGGTAATGAGCCAGTGGGGCGGGTTAGTTTTTTTTCTTTTCAGTACAATGTATTTTTCATCCCAAAGGAAGTGAAATGTTACTGAGTCACAGGCTTTTAATAAATATCAAGTTAATTCATTAGTGTATGAGGTAGGAGGGCTTTGATACAGCACAGAAATGTATTTATCATTAGGTAGGTATTACTGAGTAAGTATTATTCATGTGGGTAATGGGGAGGAGAAATTAGTGGATTGTAATGGCAGAATGTTTCCAAGTGCTATCAAAAGGCACCTTAAACACAGTGCTGGAATTAGCAGATTATTTGAGCTCAGTATCACAAGCTCAAGAAGTTTATTTTAATTTTAAAGTTTTCTGAGTTAGGCTGTTTCAGAGATCTAATTTGTCTGAAGGTTGTCTGGTTTTTTGGTCTCAGATTATCTAGATGAGAGATTATAGGCAAGAGCCAGCATTCTGCTTTGATTCAGGCTGAAACTCTTTTTTTTTTTGCATTGTGGATCTAAGAAGAAACATTCTTATTTCATGGCTGACTCAGTGCTTTTTACATAAGGGGCAGAGGTGTCTGGAGCTCTGACTGTTCAAAACAATGTGCTGATTAGAAGAGACTTGTTTGAAAAAGACTCCTAAAGTGGTTATTTGTGAATTGTTTAGTGACCTGGGTGTTTGTTTATTTCAGGCCCACTGTATTTAATTGTGGAATACGCCAAATACGGCTCCTTGCGCAGTTTCCTCAGGGAAAGTCGAAAAGTGGGCCCGAGCTACGTGGGCAGTGATGGCAACAGGAATTCCAGTTATTTGGATAACCCTGACGAGAGAGCCTTGACCATGGGAGACCTGATCTCGTTTGCATGGCAGATATCCCGAGGGATGCAGTACCTCGCAGAAATGAAGGTAGGGCAGCCAGGGGTCATCTCAGCGTGTGATAGATGTGGAGCAAGCAGCTGGTTCCTCCACAAGAAGCGTGAACTCTCCTGTTGTTTCCTTCCAAAAGCTTGTGCATCGGGATTTAGCAGCCAGGAACGTCTTGGTGGCAGAAGGGCGCAAAATGAAGATCTCTGATTTTGGCCTCTCACGTGATGTATATGAAGAAGATTCCTATGTAAAGAGGAGCAAGGTACAGTGTGTGTTAAAAGCAGTAATGGAAATTGTTGCCTGATCAAGGAAGTTAATTTATACTGTGGCACTTGAGAATGGATGAAAAGGAGAATGGCTATTTTTATTAACTTAAGATAATTATTTTAAGGAAATAAAAATGACAATGAAGTAAAAGCATGAGCTTAACCAGTGGGATACAAATACGTGTATATATATAAATATGTAAAATATGTATCATCTTTAAGTAACTATTACCTCTTCACTCCTCATTTGTCCAGTCATCTCCTTCCACTCCTTATTTATCCAGTTCCTCATCAAACTACATGAAAACACAAATAAAAAACGCCATCTTCATATAAACTAAAAATACCAAAGAGCTGGAAAATACATAGACAATTTATATCAAGTTTCACACAACTTCCACAAGTCAGTCCTGGGCGAGACTGTGATATTCGTGAGCACAGCTTCCCACTGACTGTGTCAAATGAGCAGTGGTGGTTCAGTTCCCTCTAGGGCTTAATATGAAGGAGCTGCCAACAGAATTTTTTTTGCGTGTGAAAATTTTAAAATTTTATGAGAAGATTTCCATAAATACTGTGATTTTTTAGTTTAGCTTTCTCTGTTTTTAAGGGCCAGTTTGTGTGAGTGTTGCATAAGTCAGAATGAGTTGTGAAGGAAAAAAAAACTTCTAGAAGGCATGGTTTTATGTAAAAGGGCATTGCCATGTTCATTTAGCTGTCTTCTGATGGGTGTATTTTTACAATGATTTGTACCAGTTGCTTTGTGTTTTAAGAGTAATGCATTTACATAAAGGCAGTTTGCCAGTTTAGTTTTGTTTGGGGCATGAGGTAGTGAGTGGATACTTGCTCTTTACTTCTGAGACACTCATCACTGTAGTATTATTCAGAGCCTAACAAGCATCTGTCTGCTTGGATGAGGAGACAGGAGAAAGAAGAATTTGAGAAGGAAGAGGAAGTTTCAAATCCTACTGAAATACTATATATATGGATTTCATGAGTATGAGAAGTAAGGCATATGAATGCTAATCATACTGTGATGGTTATGAAACATCTTGGAAATTTTGCATACCTAGACTTTCATGAATATTTGGGGTGGATTAGTCAGATTTTCTCAGTGAATTTCTGCCAGTGAAAAATGACAACCTGTAGATTCCATTTAGAAACTAGTAACCAAATACGACTGTCCAGGTTCAGTTGTGAAACCAAAGATATCTGTAACATCCAGGTGCTTCTATTTATGCATCATCCCTCGTGTAAATGAGATAGTTCTTCCTCTTTAATCATCATTCCTCATCATTTTTGCATCTGCACATTTTCAGAGCACTTTGTTAAGAGAAGACTTGAGTTTATCTGACTTAAACTGGTGACTACCTGCAAAAAGCTACACCAGTTTATTACACATAATTAGATTGCTGAAATGTGTAAAAAGACATGAACTAGTTTTTTTTAAAAGCACTTAAAATTATTATTCTCACTGTTTTTCTTATGAAATGTCAAATCATAACTGCATTGGCAAGTGCTGTAGGATGGACAGACTGTGTTTTACTATTTTGAAGATGAATACCTTGTTTTTTCACTTGGAAACTTATTTTTCTGACCATTACTGCTTTTTTGCCTCCTAGGGTCGCATCCCTGTGAAATGGATGGCCATAGAGTCACTGTTTGACCATATCTACACAACACAAAGTGATGTGTAAGTGTAAACTCTTGAATACTTTCTGGTTTGTGTGCTTATTTATGGAGCTAGGGGAGGGAGCACAACAAGGTGTGTAGGAGCCAAAGCCATTACTCTTGCAAAGAAACATGAAAAAGTCTGGACTGCACCATCAACTGGCAGTGATGCCCAAGATTTTTGCTGTTGAATTAAATCTGAATAAAATATTATTACTCCAGTCAGCTCAGTCCAGTTTCAGTGCCAAGATACAAGCTTATTTTCATGATGAAGGAAACAGAGACCCTGAAGATGGATATGCTGGAATCTCCACCTGATGAAGAGGAGGCAAAGCAACCACAGCTAAACTATCCCCATGTCTGATAAGCATGGGCCAGGCAGAAGAGTATTTGTAGACATTTTTAATTCAGGATCAGATACTTTTCATTTCTTTCTCTCTGGGGTGAACGATGCTTGTGCCTAGTCACCAGGCAGCCTCTAAAGCTAAAGATTATTTATTTAGGAGAAAAAACTCTAAAGGACTGTAAAAGCAGAAGTACATAGGCCTGATTTTCTGCTAGGTAACATCTTGATACCTTCTAAGTTTGCCGTTAGACTCAAATGGAGTAAAACGCTAATTTGGGTCATGTTGCACTTTGAGGGGAAAAACGCTTTGATAATAGCAGATGTCAAAATATACACCCTTAGATTTGTACTTCTAAAATTATTACCATTCACTTTTTACTCTTCTCTCTGCAGATCAGACCAGTTTTAGTGAAATAAAATATTTGCATGCCTTGGCAGTTCCTTACAAAATGAAACTCCAAAGTATTTTCGTTTACTTTGTATCCATTGGAGTAAGAAAAGGAAAAAATAGGGATAATTCTTGGGAGAATGTCAGTTTTACTTAGGCTAGCATACAGATTTTTCTGGGTCTCTTTTTATCCTCCTCAGAGCACCCATTGTGCTGACTTGCTTCTCTTAAAATTACCTTTCCCAAAGAATCGTTCGAATTCCTTTAAAAACTTCTAAGCATATTTTTAATTTCTTCAGTTTTGTCACTATGGTTTGGGGCCAGAACGGATTGTCTTGTCATGTAACTGCCTCTTCTTTGATTGTTGATCGATCATCTGGATCCAATAGCATTCCTCCCATTCCGTTTTCCTGATGGGTGCTATTAAGTAAGCCCAGGAGCGTGTTTGCTGTCAGTGGGATCCAGCACCTTGCAGGGATTGCCCAGCTGGCACCAAGCAGGCCAGCTCAGAGCCCTGGGCAGCACAATATGCTGGTGCTGTGTCACTTCCCTGCTTCCCAGGGCTGCCTGGGGATCTCCATGCAGAGCTGTGCTGGTTGCCCAGCTTTCCTGGGGCTGCCTCAGGAGCACCTCTGCTCCCATGCAGTGCCAGAAGGGCTCCAGGTGTCTGCTGTGCTTACACTGTGCCTTTGTCTCACTGCTGGCTCACCTTTGCTGTGTCATTGTATATGAAATAATCCAGGAGTGCTGAACAGCAGCTCCTGATTTAGCCAGGTTCCTGCAGAGCAGAACTGAGACACACACACAGAGCTGCAGAGCAAATCCTCTCCAGCACCAGGTTCCACGGTGGCATTTCAGAGCAGCAGACTGATCAGTGAAGTACTCCTTTTGCTGTGTTGATTGATACTTTAGATAATTTCACTCACTGAAAGTATTATCTTTTGGATATTCTCTGTTGTTTGTGGTGATGCAGTTATATTTTAGGTGAACATGTTACTCTACAACCATTCAATATTCCCTTTTTTCTGATATTCGGTTTCTGTTTTCCACCCTCTTCCCTCTCAGGCTGTTATAGTTAGTGGTTAGCAGAGTTTAATAACAGTACCACTTGCCAGCCTTTACAAAAACCCCATTTTTGCTTCAGAGGTCTATGACATCAATGGAAAGCTAACCAACTATCTTCCTCTTCACATACTTTTCTTTCCTGGCTTTTTGTGATCATGCTTTTATTCTGCAATAAAAGTAATACAGTGGGAAATTCTTCATCCCTCATTTCTCCTCCTGTAGTACTTAATCTGTATAACAGTCTGAAAGTACTGCAGCATTCTACAGCATTCTATTCTAATATATTCACTTACTGAACAACTTCAGTTAAGAAATTGTTCATCTCATCCCTCCTTCCATAGTCTGTAAAATTCCTCCAAAGCAGAAGTGGATTTTAGAAATAAAACCTGCCATGCCCCAAAGTTTATTTGAATTAATCATGGACAGAATTTTAACCTGATGGCAGAGCGTAATTGGCTTCAAAAAGGGTATGAGGAGAAATATTAATAAAGTATATGAAAATGCTATAAATATTCATAAGCTTTCAAGAATGTGCAGAGTGATTAAAAATTAATTCAGCGAATGGCATTAGGCAGAAGAATGGCAGCATACCACTTGAGACCATGTGAGAGTCACTTTGACTTCTCTGACAATTTGGGAAGTTTTATTGCTGTACCTTTGGGGTTACTTTTCTTCTTTAAAGCGTGAGAAGTGCAGGTGGAAGGGAGTCAGACAGGAGGTGAGGTATTTGGCTAACATTTTGAGATGGAATTAGACATGGCTGTTTGGTTTGGCTGTAGGTGTCTAACACTTCTTAAAATTTTTTTTAAAATGGAGTTTACAGAGAAATTGCCCAAAGCTAGCATTTTCATAAATTGTATGCAATTTTGCTTCCAGATGCATCCCATTGAGCAGCCCCAGTGTTGACTGGTTTCCTTCCTTTCAAACATCCAGATTTTGTCAGTTGAGCAGATTCAGGGTGATTTGTAGCTTCTTTGTGTCTCAAAAAGCCTTTCAGTAAGAAAAGAAAAACATTTTTGCCTCTTTTCTCCTGGCTTGCTCTCCAGAAATGGACTAATTTATCTAAATATTTCTCACCCATTATGCAAGGTCTTTTTGTTTGAGCTCAGCAGTAAAGTAGGTTTAAAAATTCACTATTTCTTCCATTCATTTCAGAAAATTGTTTTTTCTGTTCTGTGTCAAAGTTCATTTTAGGCATTTGGTATTTCCAGAGGAAATTCTTTCCTCTTCTTTCATCAACTCTAAGAAGAAAATTAAGTCCTGAATCACTGAAATGGCCCAAGAGACCAGCTGAAATCAAAGGTGTTGCTTGTGATTTAAATGAACACATTGTGTTGCCTCATAGTCAAGACAGCAAACCGGTCCTGTGGTAACTCTGTAAATTTAATTTAGAGTTATTTCTGAATATGAGAGCTAATTTGGGAGGTTAGACTGCTGCAGGAGCCCTGTGCAGCAGAGGAACAAGTCTTTGGTCTGGCCCACCAGAGGAAGGACTTCCTCTTTCTGCTGTCTAGAGAAGATGGATCTACCCAGGGTATAATTAGCTTTTGTCAGTGGATAAAAGAGGGGTGTCTGTTTTCTCTCCTCTCTTGGTTGCTAACCTTTTCAATGCACATGGGAACAAGATGCACTGCTTGCATCTGAACAACTGCTCTGGTGTGAGGTGTCTTGAATTTTGTTGGGTTCTGAGAATACTAAAAGGAGATTGGTTGTGTAAATGCACATTAAGCTCCTGAAACCTACCACTCTATATAAAAGCTCATTTTGTCTTTTTCAGATGGTCATTTGGAGTTTTGCTGTGGGAGATAGTTACTTTAGGAGGAAATCCTTACCCAGGTATTGCTCCTGAAAGACTCTTTAACCTCCTAAAAACAGGCTATAGAATGGAGAGACCAGAAAACTGCAGTGAAGAAATGTAAGTAACTCTTCATCTGATTAGATTCAGAAAACATTAATAAATATACTTGAAGAAAAAGGTTTAAATAAATACCTCATAAATACTATTCTGTATTTCTTAAAGATAGTCAAAATATGTCGTGCTTTAAAGAGTGTCATGAAATTAGTGAACAGTAAAGCGAGGGGGGAAAAATTGTGCACAGAATGCCTACAGCTATATCCAAACCATTTGTAGGCTATTGAATAACATGCTTGCCAAACAATTAAAAGAGTTGGTACATTTAAAACTTCTGAGGGTGGGAGAAGGAGGAAACTTCCATAAAACACAGTGGTAGCTGAAATATTCAAGAAAATGTCATAGTACTTTCTGCAACTGAAACAGATATTCCATGCACAGTCATTGTCTGTAAGTTTCCAGAGGAAAAATGGTACCTTGGCCCAGAAATCTACTCCCTTGAAGATGAAAAATTTCTGTGATTTGATAAGCCAGTGGCTTTGGAGACAGTTCATAATCTGTTAGCTGATTTATTAAAACACAGTCAGTGTGAAGTATCTTTTGTCTGTGATCTTCCATGACATTTGGAGATGAGGTGTGATTTTATGTTCAGCCTGCAAATTTGATCATGGTTGTGGTATTTTGAAATACCACAGGCTTTAAACATTGTGACCACTCCTTTGACTGATTTTCAGTTGGAAGGATGCTTTGACCACATCTGGGATGAGAAAAAATGGTTTAAATAAATAATAGGTTTTTTAACATACAGAGAAAAACATTAAGTATTTCCAAATTTAGGGCAGGGTGGCAGTTTACAAGAACGATTGGCAAGTATCATCTAAGAAATGTATAATACTAACCTTTATTTGTTTCATCTCAGTGAGGAATACTCATTCCACAAACATTTTATGTCATTGATAATTATTAGTTTAGGCAAGCTGACCACATCTGAGTTTCTGGGATTTTTTTATTGAAACTAAATCATGGTTTTCTGACTTTTTTCAGATTTTATTCTGTTTTACTCAGAAATTTTTCTGACAGCTTGTGAAAGCCCACTTTAAGGACCATTTTTCTCAAATTGCATTCTCTCCTATACACAGTCAAGTACAAGAGGGGTCATGGATGAAGGCATAAAATGCAGTGCTTTTCAATAGCTTCCTGTAGTTCTCATAACCCACTGTTTCCACCATTAGAGCACTTATGTGGACAGATCCCTCAGTCCTGAGAACAGCTGAGCTAGAAAAATGACATGAATGGCACAGGTTGGAGAGTTGCACTCCAGAACTTGCCAGTGTCCATCTGGTAATCACTCAACTATAAAACTTCAGTTCTGTTCATTTTCCTTTCCACCCTCTATTCTGTAGAAGGTAGTCAAAGAGAGAATAAATATAGGTTAAATCAAAAGAACAATAATAGAAGTAATCAAAAGAACATTAGTTTCTGCAAATAGGCTAGGCTTCACTTTAAAGAAAAGTTTACAGAAACTTAAGAATTCTAGCAAATGAAAACTGAAATTCTGCTTTTTGGTATAACAGCAGAATTTTAAAGTTTGATACACAAATTTCTTCAGTGTCATAGACAAAGTGAAGTTGCAGTCTGGCATGCTGCCCTACATTTGAGGTGGTCCCTTGAGAAAGTGAAACCTGAGACTAAGTCCTTCAAGGACAGCCAAGTGCATCATCATTTAAACTCTTGGAGACTCTTGAAAATAAAAGCCCATTGTTGTGAGTGTCAGTTGTTAATTCCAGGGAACATTTAACAGTACTCACAGCAGAGATTGATGTACTTGTGGATGGCCTTCATGCCACAGCTAAGGTCAGTGCTGTTAATCATTAGAGGAGAAGCATGAGCCATTTCTAACAGTTTGGGGTTTTTTCCACCCTGTGACGGGTCCCAGGTACAGCCTCATGTTGCGCTGCTGGAAGCAAGAAGCTGATAAAAGACCAACATTTACTGAGATCAGCAAGGAACTAGAGAAGATGATGGTGAAGAGTAGGGTAAGTGTGGAAAGCATGGATTTTGAAAGTTCTTGTGCTCTTCTGAGTTTGAATGCACAGAAATAATTACTTTTTCATTTTATTTTCAAGTAAAGTAACTTATTTTCATCAAATCTTGAATCATTTACATATCTAGTGTCTTCCACATGCATGCAGCTTTTTGGAAGCAGTACTACCTCTTCTAATAGCTTTGGTGACTTCAGCCCAAAATGTGGATGGATTATCCTTAACCTGTCTATTTTCTTTAAACAAGAGTAATTTAAAAACTCTTGTGAAAAGTTACTCCTAAATAAATAATGTGAGAGAGCCAGAACTAGAAGAATGTAGTATTTCATGCATTTTAAATTAGTTGAAAATGCTTCACATTCTTTTTTTTTTTTTTTATTGCTTCAAAGCAATTCAACAACACAAAAACCAATGAATTCTTATCGGTGACCTAAATATTTAGTTTTAGAACAGCAACCAAAGCTTTATTTGGGAATATTTACATAGTTATTTCATGCATTGTTATGTAATAGCTTTTGTAAAATATGATTATGAGATCTGAGTACCGTGTCCTTTAAGCATGCATATGTATCTCCATATATATATATTTCAGGCATACATATGGATCAGGCATACCAGCAGCTGAAGGTCAAACAAAGCAGTTAGGACAGATTTTCAGTTTGTTGGGTGTTTTGCTGATGTGCAGAATTAAGTAGGGGAAGTATCCATATGTCTGTAGCAGGGGCAGTGTTGAGGCAAATCAGCTGCCTCCAGGGCTGCTGTGGCTGTTGGAAAGCAGAGCCTCCTCAGGTGCCAGAGGTTCTAGAGAAAGATGGATGCAGTGGGTCTGTAGTTCCTTGCTGTAAAGAAAGCAGCTGCATATTTATGCTTTTTACCCAAACAGCAACACTGCCAGGTGCATTAATGCAGCTTTTTGTGTCCATTTCTCAGGACTACTTGGACCTTGCAGCTTCCACGCCCTCCGACTCCTTACTGTACGATGACGGGCTCTCCGAAGAGGAGACACCTCTCGTGGACTGTAATAATGCTCCCCTCCCTCGAACCCTCCCTTCCACATGGATTGAAAACAAACTCTATGGTAGAATTTCACATGCATTTACTAGATTCTAGCAACACACAAAAAAAAGTTGATTTTTCTTCTGCACTGTTCTCAGACTCTGTAACCCCATTACAGTGTTTCTTGTCTGAATGAAGCCAATCAAAAATTGCTTGGAAGCTTTTTTTGGGTTGTTTTTTTGTTTGTTTGTTTTTTCTTTTGGTAAATGTCAAAGTTTGCATCAGGATCATCCTTTAGTCATTTTGCAGCTGTGTCTAAAACAAACATTTTAAAAGGATGTGAAAATAAGTAAAATTATGAGATATCTACAGTAAAAGCAAAAAAAAAGATCAGGGAAGTATTCTCAGGGGAAATATAAAATGCTAATGAGTATCTAATTCAACTATCCTGTTGGGGGAGGCTACAACATTTAAAATATGTTAGATTCTGCACCTCTAATTTAAGCAATAGACTTTTTTTTATACTGTTTTTTGCCATAACTCAGTGATAAGACTCATCTGCAACATTTTTCATTTATTCAGAAGGATGTCTAAATTTCAGCTGCTATTAGTACATTTTGGATCTATAGGCTGAAATGTATTTAATGTATCATAGGATGAAAACAGATTATTATATACAGAAGGTAGAAATACTGTATATAAATATTATATACAGACTAAACTGACATGTAAAATCCTTTGAAAACTTAATTAACAGTGGGCATTTTGAAAATATCAGCTGTTTTCACGTCCTTTGATTTGTTATGAACATGTTAGTACTAAACCTCAACTCAATGATGTAGCAAGTGTTTTTAAAAAGAACATATGCTTTCATATTGTGATGGTGACATGGACAGTAAAAATGGTTCTTGCCAAAACTCCTATATTTTGTCTTCTGATTAAATATTCTACATGGTTTTAGGTACTTATTAACATCAGATACCTTTTTCATTCTTCAAGCAGTATGACTTTTGAAAAGTTGGATCTTTTAGTTTAAAAGTTGCCATTAATACATGGCTTTGGGTCTGGTTTTGATCTATAACTTAGCTATTATTTTCTTCATTAGGTTTTCTCAACTCATGTTGATTTTGGGGCACTTAGTGAAGTAGCAGAAAAAAGTTGCCACAAGGTTGGTGGCAGATGCTGAATGCTTAATAAGCAACAGAATCAGATTTCTGTTTTTGAAAATCTCAACCCTGCTATGGTTCTGTGCTTGCACAGCTGAATCAACATGGTGCTAAGCACTCTGCATCCATTTTGATTATCACTTGTGCCCGAACACAGAAACAGTTACTGCACTCAATGCAAATAATTACAGACCTGAAATACAACTTGAAATGCTGAATCAAGACAGGAGTGCTCAGCACTTTGTTGGACTTTACTCAGTTGCACTCCTGGGATTTCCTGAAATTAAGCAGAGTATCCCTGGTGGGGGTGTGAAAATGTCCCCAGAACCTCACTGAAGCCAAAGGAAAAGCACCCATTTAAGTAAATGGAAATATTCTGTCATTGAAATGGACTTTGGATCCTGTCCCAAATAGGTTGATTAATTCTTGGAGCATTTCCTGTACAGCAGGAACTTTCTCTTGCAAAGCAATATATTGCTACATGATTGTTAAATTATAAAATTATGGAAAGTTGGAGACATATGAGAAGAACAATTCTTAGCTTTTTATTATGCACATGTGCATGCATGCACACAATTTTTTATTGAATAAGCACTTTAATTTATCCAGGTTATTTGCCTGCATCTGAATTTCTGCTTCAGGGATTTCAAAACACTATTTATATGAATTGATTTGGGACAAAATCCAGTGGACTGGCTTAAAGTATTGAAGGGAGTTTTGCCAAGGGCCTTACTGTCTGCACATGAAGTTATGGTTCTTCAGTGCAGAAAAAATTATCTGTTTTCATTTTTAGGCATGTCATACCCGAACTGGCCTGAGGAGAGCCCCGTTCCACTCACAAGATTCGATGGCACTAACTCTGTGTTTTCAAGATATGCAAATGATAGTGTATATGCTAACTGGATGGTTTCACACTCAGCGGCAAAATTTATGGACAAGTTTGATAGTTAAAATTTTCTTTGTGAAAGGTAATGGACTCCTGAGGAAAGCAAGGAGGCAAAGAGTGGGAAGTCCATTGACTTGTTCTTTGTACAATCAACAACTAACTTTAAAATTGGCAAATCCCTTTATTGGTAGTTTTTCAAGTGTGTTATTTATGCTGAAGACTATAATTGGTACTCTCCCCTTTCAGAAAACATATCAAGCTGGATAAGAGTTGTAGTTCTGGTACTTCTTTCTAAGTTGCCAGTTTGCACATGGTTCAATTTGGCAACTTCTTAGAGCAAATGGCCTTGCACTTCATCCTCAGTGGTTTTTAGACTAACCATCCTGTGTTACAGCATTCTGGGATGGTAAAATGTACTTGAACTGCTACTTTTATAGTGGCTGTTAGCATACCACCACTTGATCTAAGCAGGAAGCACAAACAATATATAGAAGGGAGGAGGGAAACAGGCTCCCAGATTACTGAACTTGCTATCAAATGACAAGTGTTAGAATGATGTTGGCACTAACAAAGCCAATATCTTGGTTTGGAAGCAAACATTTAGTAACTCAATAGAGGACTTGAGATTCAACATTTGAAGTCTTGTAAAATGTATTGTCTTGTCTTAATGAGAAGAGAATTTGTTTTATTAGTCTTAACTTCTCTTACCTTTAGCACAATGGAGATAAATTTGATACAAGATAAGCTGTATAGACTGATGGCAATCAGGAATGTTTGTCTGACACATTTACTTTCCATCACTTTTCATATTAGTAATGTTAAAACATACAATCTTGTACAATCATAGTTTCTTCTATGAGTTATAAATAGGCTACACAGGAGTTTTAGACTGAATTCATAGAATAGAATAGTGACATCATAGAATGGTTTGTGTTGGAAGGGAACTTGGAGGTCATCTAGTTCCAACTCCCTGCCCTGCTGCCCACTCCTGTGTTGTAGGGAAGGACACCTTCCACTAAACCAGGTTGCTCAAATTCCCATCCAGCCTGGACTTGAACACTGCCAGGGATGTGGCATCCACAGCTTCTCTGGGCAACCTGTTCCAGTACCTCACCATCTTCACAGTTAATAACTTCTTTTTCATATCTAACCTAAACCTGCCTTCTTTCAGTTTAAAGCCATTTACCTATCCGAATGTTACATGCCCCGATAAAAAACTCCCTGTCCAGCTTTCCTGTAGCTCCTTTAGGTACTGAAAGACTGCTCTAAGGTCTCCCCAGAGCCTTCTCTTCTCCAGGCTGAACAGCCCAAACTCTCTCAGCCTGTCTTTATAGGAGAGGTGCTCAGCCCTCTGACAGTCTTTGTGACCCTTGTCTGGACCCACTCCAATAGGTCCATGACGTCCCTGTGCTGGGGATGCCAGAGCTGATGCAGCACTCCGGGTTGGGTCTCACAAGAATAGAGTAGAGGGGGAGAAACCCCTCCTTGACCTGCTGCCCACACTGCTTTTGATGTAGCCTGGGATACAGTGGGCTTGTTGGGCTGTAAAAATATATTCCTTGGTCAGACTGAGCATCTCATCAATCAACACCCCCAAGTCCTTTTCCCCAGGGCTGCTCTCAGTCCATTCTGCAGCCATCCTGTCTTTGTGCTGGGATTACCCCAACCCAGGTGCAGGACCTTGTCTTGCCTTGTTGAACTTGGTGAGGTTTGTGTGGGCCCACCTCTCAAGCCTTCCAAGTTCCCTGTGGATGGCATCCCTTCTCTCCACGGTGTCAGCTGCACCACACAGCCTGGTGTCACTGAAAAAATTGCTGAGGGTGCCCTCGCTCCTGCTGTGGATGTCACCAGCAGAGGTGTCCAACAGTGCCAGTCCCAATACCAACCCCTGAGGAACCCAGCACTGGTCTGCACTTGCACATTGAACTGTTGACAGCAGCTCTGAGTGTGACCATCCAGACAATTCCTTATGCACCACATGGTCCATCCATCAAATCCATGCCTCTCCAGTGTCAAGACATGGATGTAATCTAAGACAGTGTTGAATGCTCTGCACAAGTCCAGGTAGATGGCATCAATCACTCTTCTCTTGCCAGCCAGCTCTGTAATCCTGTCACAGAAGGATGTTTGTAGGGTTTACCCTTAGTGATGCCATGTCACCTTATTTTCCATATTTTGTCATCAGGTTCCATGGACTTGTGGACCCTCAGGTTCCTTAGCTGGTTCAGAACCTGATCTTCCCCTGTAGTGGGAGTTTCTTTATTCTCACAGTCCTGCCTTTGCCACCTTGGCAAAGGGGCTCATGCAAACTTGGGCATCAGTGGCTGAAGAACTGGCTGGTGAAGACCAAGGCAAAAATGTACTCAATGACATTGAGTACCTCAGCCTTCTCCATGTCCCAGGTAACCAAGTCTCTCATTTCTTTCCAGAGAGGGCTCACATTTTCACCAATGTACCCGTAGAAGCTTTTTTTGTTGCCCTTGATGTCCTTGGCCTGATAGAATTCAATCAGGCCTTTAGCTTCCTAACCTGATCCCTGGCTGCTTGGGCAGTTTCTCTGTGTTCCTCTCAGGCTGTCTGTCCTTGCTTTCACCCTTTTTTTTTGTGGGGGAAGCATAGGCTTCTTTTTGTATTTGAGTTTGTCTGGGAGCTCCTTGTTCATCCATGCAGGTCTCCTGACATTTCTGCCTGACTTCCTCTTGGTTGCATCGGTCCTGACCTTGCAAGAGGTGATCCTTGAATATTAACCACCTTTCTTGGGTCACTCTTCCTTTCAGGACTTTATCCCATGGTACTCTAGCCACAAGATCCCTGAAGAGGCCAAGGTGTGCCTTCCTCATGTCCAGGTTAGTGAGCTTGCTGTGTGCCTCCTCGCTGGCCTCAGGATATTGAAGTCCACCATTTCATGGTCATTGCAGCCAAGGCTGCTCTTAAGATTCACATTCCCCACCAGCCTCTCCTTGTTGGAAGGAACAAGGTCCAGCATAATACTTCTCCTCGTTTACTCCTTGGTTACTTGGAGAAGTAAGTCATCACGAATCTCTTAAATTGCTCATGCCCTGCTGTGTTGTTCCTCCAATGGGTATTGGGGTAGTTGAAGTCCCCCATGAGGACCAGGACCTATGAATATGAGGTAGTGCCTCTCTCTCTGTAGAGCGTC